AGTAAGATTGGCAGCCATTATGAAGTCAAACAACAACAAGTGCTGGCGAGGATGTGGGGAAAAGGGTACACTTGTACATTGCTGGTGGGACTGCAAATTGGTGTGGCCAATTTGGAAAGCAGTATGGAGATTCCTGGGAAAGCTGGGAATGGAACCACCATTTGACCCAGCTATTGCCCTTCTCGGACTATTCCCTGAAGACCTTAAAAGAGCGTACTACAGGGATACTGCCACATCGATGTTCATAGCAGCACAATTCACAATAGCTAGACTATGGAACCAATCAAGATGCCCTTCAATAGATGAATGGATAAAAAAAATGTGGCATTTATACACAATGGAGTATTACGCAGCACTAAAAAATGACAAAATCATGGAATTTGCAGGGAAATGGACGGCATTAGAGCAGATTATGCTAAGTGAAGCTAGCCAATCCCTAAAAAACAAATGCCAAATGTCTTCTTTGATATAATGAGAGCAACTAAGAACAGAGCAGGGAGGAAGAGCAGGAGGAAAAGATTAACATTAAACAGAGATATGAGGTGGGAGGGAAAGGGAGAGAAAAGGGAAATTGCATGGAAATGGAAGGAGACCCTCATTGTTACACAAAATTACATATAAGAGGTTGTGAGAGGAATGGGAAAAATCAAGGAGAGAAATGAATTACAGTAGATGGGGTAGAGAGAGAAGATGGGAGGGGAGGGGAGGGGGGTAGTAGAGGATAGGAAAGGTAGCAGAATACAACAGTTACTAATATGGCATTATGTAAAAATGTGGATGTGTAACCAATGTGATTCTGCAATCTGTATTTGGGGTAAAAATGGGAGTTCATAACCCACTTGAATCTAATGTATGAAATATGATATGTCAAGAGCTTTGTAATGTTTTGAACAACCAATAAAAATAAATAAATAAATAAAACAAAGTACATGTATAAAGATATGAATTGGTGTGAATATACTGTATATACAACCAGAGATATGAAAAAAGTACTCTCTATATATAATATAAATTGTAATACATTCTGGTGTCATATATTTTAAAAATCAATTAAAAAAAGGAATACCTGATCATTCTGATTTTCAAGTCTTGGAGAAAAGCTGGGAATTATTGGGCGGACTGCAGCTAGTTCTTGGAGTTTTGTATGAATTTCAGCAAGCTGCTGATGCTGGGTGGCTGCAAATGTGTATCCTTCTCCTGGGACCAGCCAACCAGACTGATCACCCTAAAATGAAACAAGGGTTACCAGGTCATATCCATACTACATTTTCCAAAACATACCTTTCAGACTGCTTTATCAAAGCCCAAGATTTCACAAAACAAACAAAAGCAAAACAAAAAACACAGAATTAATATTAGGATCGTAAAAGAAAAAATGAAATAGTTTACAGTTTCATCATCTGCCAACTCTGTGTAAAGTATCTTCTTACATTATGTGGGAGTTTCTCCTATGGACTAAATCTCTTAGTCTGGTTATCATAATATTTTCATTTCTCTACTTTAGAAAAAGGTTTTGTGATGTGTTGAATAGGAAGAAATCAGTAACTACCCTAAAGGAAAACACAATCAAAGGAGAAACAAAGTCAAGTAAAAAACAAAACAAAATTACTGGGAATACAAACAATATTTCAATAATAACCCTGAATATTAATGGCCTAAATTCATCAGTTAAAAGACACAGACTGGCAGATTGGATTAAAAAAGAACACCCAGCAATATGATGCCTTCAAGAGACTCATCTTATTGGAAAAGACATCTATAGTCTGAAGGTGAAAGGATGGGAACAAACATAACACTCACATGGACTGTAGAAACAAGCAGGGGTTCCCATTCTCATATCAGATAAAAGTGGACTTCAAACCAAAGTTAGTCAGAAAGGATAAAGAAGAACATTATGTACTGCTTAAGGGAATCATATATCAACTAGACATAACAATCATAAATATTTATGCCCCAAACAATGGAGCATCTACATACATTAAACAAACTCTTCTCAGTTCAAGAGTCAAATAGATTACAACACAATAATACTGGGTGACTTTAACACATCTCTTTCCCCACTGCATAGATCTTCTAAACAAAAAATAAACAAAGAAATTACAGAACTCAATAATACCACCAATAATTTAGACTTAACAGACATACATAAAATATTCCATCCATCAATGAGTGAAGACACTTTTTTCTAAGAAGCACATGGATCCTTCCCTAAAATAGACCATATGGCAAATACAAAAATATAGTGATAGTACCCTGCATTCTACCAGACCATAATGGAATAAAATTAGAAATCAATGATAAAATAAAATATAAAAGCTATTCCAACACCTGGAGATTAATAATACATTATTAAAATACGCATGGATAGCAGAAGACATCAGGGAGGAGATAAAAAAAAATCTTAGAAGTAAATGATAATTTTGATAAACAACAGACCAAAATCTCTGGGACACTATAAAGGCATTGCTAAGAGGAAAGTTCATTGCATTGAACTCATTCATTAAAAGAAGTAAAAGTCAACAAATAAATAACCTGACATTACATCTCAAAGCCCTAGAGAAAGAAGAAAAAATCAATATCAAAAATAGTAGAAGACAGAAAATAATTAAAATAAGGGCTGAAATCAATGAAATTGAAACAAAAGAAATAATTGAAAAAAAATTGATAAAACCAAAAGCTGGTTCTTTGAAAAAATTAATAAAATTGATAAACCCTTAACCACCCTAACAAAAAGAAGTGAAAACTCAAATTACTAAAATTTGTGATGAAAAAGGAAATATTATGACAGATACCACTGAAATACTGAAGATAACTAGAAACTATTTTGAAAATTTATACTCCAATAAAATAGAAAATATTGAAGACACCAGAAAATTTCTAGAGAAATAGGAGCTTCCCAAACTGAATCAGGAAGATATACACAATTTAAACAGATAAATATCAAGCATGAATAGAAGATGTCATCAAAAGCCTACCAACTAAGAAAAGCCAAAGACCAGACAGGTTCTCAGACAAGTTCTATAAGACCTACAAAAAAGAAATTAATACCAATATTCCTCAAATTATTTCATGAAATAGAAAAGAGGGAACCTTTCCAAACTCATTCTATGAAGTGAATGTCACCTTGAAACCTAAGCCAGACAAAGACATATCAAGGAAAGAAAGCTTCAGACCAATATCCCTGATGAACATAGATGCAAAAATTTTCAATAAAATTCTGGCAAATTGCATACAAAAACATATTTAAAAGATAATGCACCATGATCAAATGGTGTTCATTTCAGGGATGCTAGGTTGGTTCAACATACAGAGTTCAAAAAACATAATTCATCACATCAATAGATTAAAGATAAGAATCATATGGTCATCTCAATATATGCAGAAAAAGCAATTGATAAAATACAACACCCTTTCATGGTCAGAACACTAGAAAAAATAGGGATAGTAGGAACATATCTCAACATTGTGAAAGCTATCTATGCTAAGCCCAAGGCCAACATTATTCTAAATGGAGAAAAATTGGAGGCATTCCCTCTAAGAACTGGAACAAGACAGGGATGCGCTCTTCCACCACTCCTATTCTACATAGTCCTTGAAACTCTAGCCAGAGCAATTAGACAGATGAAAGAAATTAAAAGGATATAAATAGGAAAAGAAGAACTCAAACTTTCACTATTTGCCAACAACATGATTCTATACTTACAGGATCCAAAAAACTCCACCAGAAAACTTCTAGAACTAATAAATCAATTCAGCAAAGTATCAGGATATAAAATCAACACCCATAAATCAAAAGCATTTCTATACATCAGTGATGAATTCTCAGAAAGAAAAATTAGGAAAATACTCCACTCACAATTGTCTCATTAAAAAAATAATAAAATACTTGGGAATCAATCTAACAAAAGAGGTTAAAGTCCTATACAATGAAAACTACAGAACACTAAAGACATTGAATGTTCTTGGATAAGAAGAATTAATACTGTCAAAATGGACATATTATAAAAAGCTTTATACAGATTTAATGCAATTCCAATTAAAATACCAACAACATTCTTCATATAAATAGAAAAAGCAATCATGAAATTCATTTGGAAAAATAAGAGAACCAGAATAGCCAAAGCACTCCTTAGCAAGAAGAGGCATCACAATATCAGACCTTCAACTATACTACAGAGCTATAGTAACAAAAATGGCATGATATCAGCACCAAAATAGACTTGTAGACTAATAGTACAGAACAGAAGACACAGAGACAAATCCACGTAAATACAGTTATCTCACACTTGACAAAGGTGCCAAAAACATACATTGGCGAAAAGATAGCCGCCTTCAACAAATGGTGCTGGAAAACTGGAAATCTATATGCAGCAAAATGAAATTAAACCCACTATCTCTCACCATGTACAAAACTCAAGTCAAAGTGTATCAAAGACTTAGGCACTAGAACAGAGACCCTGCAACAAAAAGAAAAAGTAGGCCCAAATCTTCATCATTTCAGATTAGGTCCTAACTTCCTTAACCAGACTCCTAAAGTGAAAGAAATAAAATCAAGAATTAATAAATGGGATGAATTCAAACTAAAAACCTTCTTTTCAGCAAAGGAAACAATCCATAAGAGAAGTGCCCAAAGAGTGGGAGAACATCTTTACTACACACACATAAGATAGAGCACTATTCTCCAGGATATATAAAGAATTTTAAAAATTTAACACCAAAAAACTAAATAACTCAATCAATAAATGGGCTAAGGAACTGAACAGATACTTTTCAGAAGAAGATATACAATTGATCAACAAATATATGAAAAAATGTTCAACCTCTTTAGTAAGCAGAGAAATACAAATCAAAACTACTCTAAAATTTCATCTCACTCTAGTCAGAAGAGCAATTATCAAGGATACAAGCAATAATAAGTGTTGGCAAGGATGTAGAGAAAAGGTACACTTATACATTGCTGGTGGGACTACAAATTATTGCAACCACTATAAAAAGCAGTATGTAGATTCCTTAGAAAACTCGGAATGGAACCACCATTTGACCCAGATATCCCACCCCTCAGCCTATACCCAAAGGACTTAAAATCAGCATACTACAGTGATACAGCCACATCAATGTTTACAGCAGCTCAAATCACAAGAATTAAACTGTGGAACCAACCTAGACGCCCTTCAACAGATGAATGGATAAAGAAACTGTGGTACATATACTCAATGGAATATTACTAAGTAGTAAAAGAGGATAAAATTATAGCATTTGTATATAAATGGATGGAGATGGGACAATATCATGCTAAGAGAAGAAAGCCAATCCCAAAAAAAATTTATAAAGGCTAAATGTTCTCTCTGATAAGTAGATACTGACCCATAATGGGGGCACAGGAGGTGGTTAGAGGGGCAGTGCATGGGGAGAATGGAGGAACTTTGATTGGGCAAAGGGGAGGGAATGAAGGGGAGGGGACATGGGGGTAGGAAAGCTGGTGGAACATTACCCTAGGTACATGTATGACTGTATATGTGGTATAACTCTACACTGTGTACAACTAGAGAAAAGTTGTACTCCATTTCTATACAATGAATCAAAATGCATTCTGCTATCATGTATAACTAATTAGAACAAAAAAAATTTTTTTAAAGAATGAGAATAAGACATAAATGCTAACAAGAATAATATGCAAAATGCAATATTAATAGCAAAAAAATCCCTATGAAAACATTCATAGAAGGTACAAGGAAGATTCATCATAACATAGTTTGACACACAGACAGTGGGCAGCAGTTTACAAATTCACAATTAACAAAACAAGGACTGAAACCAAGGTTTCTTAATTCTATTATCTGAGCTTTTGTTCATCAAATAAGAAAATTACCATAAATCAACAAAGCTAATGTATCTCAGAGTTATGGGGATATTCAGCAATGTGCCTTGCCTACCCTTTGCCCCTACTTCACCAGCCCACACAGTAAAATCTTTGTCCATTCCTAGACCCAGCCCCCACTGAGTGCTCATTATCTAAGAAAAGATTATTTAGACATCGTAACCTGTGATATTCTGTAGATTTGTTTTTGGTTGGGGGTGGAAGGTGAGAAATATTCTGTTTACCCACATTGAATTATATTGAATGGACTTACCTGTCAATATTTTAATGTTTCCCATAAAAATCTGAATTTTTAGCTTGTTTCAAAAAATTGGAGGATCTGGGCAGCCCTGGACTAGGATTTTTTTTTTTTTTTTTTTTGAGGGGTACCAAAGATTGAACCTAGGGACACTTAAAAATTGAGCATATTCCCATACCTTTTTAAAAAATATTTTATTTAGAGACAGGATCTTGCTGAGTTGCCTAGGGCCTCACTAAGTTGATGAGGCTGGCTTCGAACTCACAATCCTCCTGCCTCTGCTTCTGGAGACACTGGGATTAGAGGTGTACGCCACTGCACCCAACTGGACTAGGATTTCTACACAGCAATCACTAGCTGATGCCAGTCCCACTGAATTGGTGCATCCTGCCCTACTAGTCACAGTTATCACCACACATGCACTGCTTTTGTACCTAAAGCAAAATCCATCCTCTGAACCTATGGGTCTTAGGCTGGGTTACATAGATCCAGAACCTGAGACAGGAAATCTTGCTTGAGTGATTTATCAGAGAAATGTCTTTGGGAATAGGGGCATGAGGCAAACAGTCTAGGACAAGGGCACAAAGCAAGCTAAAGGCCAGCGTGGATCTGATCTCTGGAGAAGCACTACAAAGCTAATCCTATTTTGAGGTGAGGGATCTGAGGTAGGCAGGGCTACTTGGCTCCCATTTGGCTCCAGCTAATTCTCCAAGGAAGGGGACAGGTGTGTAGCCTGGCACAAGGCTAGGGAATGGATACACAGACAAGTTGTAGGTAAAGGGGATCTGGAAAGAGTGCCAGCATTTGCTCCACCACGTCTCTATTCAACACAGGAGAATAAAAAACAGCAGGGCTAGTTGTGTCAAGGAACACAGGAGGGTGTATTTCTTTGTAGAAGTAAAGAATATTCCTACGATATTACTATATAAACACTGGGCCACTGCACTCTTTCTGGGACCTTCTGGGACACTATAAATACCTGCACTTGTCCCCTACATTACATATTTCCCCTTTTCAGCTCAGTTTTTTGCCTCCCAGGGAATTAATTGGTCAAGTTTAACTGGGAAGGAGCAGGATGGTATTCTTTAGGATTACTGAAAACTATAGTGAAACACCATGTGTCCAATGTGGGGATAATAAAAAAGGATAGAGAGAAATATATTCTTATGTCATCAGTGTCTAAGCCCATCTCATCACAGGCGGTGGTTACTATCGTGATAATCAATGTGTGGTCCTCTAATAAAGACTTAAAATGATCTTAAAGAATTAATAATAAATTGACCAAAAATGAATTTGAAAACATGTATACAATAGGAATTTTTAAAGTCAGAGAATACTGTATCATAACCTAAAAAAAATATACTGTATAAGTCATTGACTATGAGTTTCCATACCTCAGAACTGGACAGTCCCGAATCTCCATCATCTAAGTCCTTCAAAAGTTCAGCCAGTCTTTGCTTCTCTCTGTCAATCATAACCACTGGGTTTCTTGAATTCTTAGCCAACTACAGAATTAATTAATGAGAAACATTAAATATTCAAAGCAATTCATAATTCAGGAAAATAAAAAAGTGGCAGAGGCATCCACAGAATAGAAACACCAAGACATATGTTGAGAGACATATGTTAGACCCTAACCCTAATTTTATATTGCTAGGTAATTTTATTTTATGACAAACACTTTTGTGGGGCCACTTCCAAACAAAAATATTTCTACTATAAACAGGCCCTTTTGTTACTAAGAGAGCATTTTCAAATCTCTCCTTGTAAAATGTGCATACACACATGCAAAAATATATTTGCTGAGACATTTGGAAGGACTCTTCCTTTTTTCCACATTTTTACTGATGCATTATTATTGTATATGTTGGTGGGATTCCTCTTCTTGACATTTCCTTATAGAAGATATCTACTAAATGAAACTGAAAGTTTCAAGCATAAATATTATAAGGAATTTAAATAAATATTCAGTTACTATTATTAAAATGGGGGAAATGTAATCTATGGTGGAGCTGTGCCAGCCAGAACTTGAATATGGGAGAAATTCTAAAGCTCTTAGAAAACTAAGCAATAAATAGTATAGAATGAGCCAGCACAAAGAGACAGCTCAAGCTGGATAAGGTTTCCTAAAGATCACTTGAATATGGAGTACAAAAAAATTTAGAGTCCCAAAGATCAGTCCTGGCAGTAGCAGGTTGACTCATGAATCTTGTCTGCCTGAATATGACATGTAAATGGTGGGAAAGCATCAGACTGAACAGTAGGAATTACTTACTTTCTCTTCCTAAGACTTCACTCTCACCAATGCAGCCTTCTAGTAACTAGTTGCTCAAGGGCTGTGCTATGAGCCTTCTTCTACCCCATTTACATTTCTTATTATAAATTAATTAATTAATATTCTGGTCTAATACAGGAGTTCCTGTATCCTTGGTTAGTCTGAGTCTGTCTTATAAACAAATTTGCTACGGAACTTGCAAATTCAAGGAATAACCCCTGAAGCAGGGAGCTTTATCAAGGACAGTGACCAAGAGGCACAGTGGGAGGCAGACAACTAGTGGGCTTCTCCAGTCTACCCTTGCTGCTCTGCCAGAAGCATCCTCATTCCAAGTTCTAAATGCACTAGCTACATAATCCATCTCATTACTTTTAAAAACCAAATTTACTAATACACAATAGAAAATCTAGGAAACATCATCCAAAGATATTATCTAAATAAATATATTTCAAATTGTAGGAACCAGACTTTTCTAGGTGATGAAATAAATGCCAGTTGCAGCTAGCATGTTTTTAAAGGGATAGGATAGGTTAGGATAGGATAGGATAGGACGGGATAGAATGTAATAGAAAACAGTGAAGGTAAGTATTGATTCAGAAAACTTTTCTTTCAGATATATGTTCTGGTTCAATTATGAACACATTTAACATGGTCAGAAATATTTAAAGATCCTAAACATTCTACCATCATTGTTGCAGCTCGTTTAGTCACACATTCTGACTCCTGAATTTCTAAGTACATACCTCAATGTTTCGCTTAACAAAATCGTGGTTGTGTTTACCCCTGAGCTCAAATTTTTCTGTATTTGAGAAAGGTTTCTTTTCTGCTTTGATCAATGACTCATTTCTTTCCACATCATAGGTAAAATCTAATATTAAAAAAGTTCAAAATGTTTTCATGATTACAATTATATGTTACACTAAAAATTCACTTTAAGCATATATTTAAGTTATAAGAAAGCACAGACAGAAAAAGTACCTTCCAAATTTCAGATCCAGATATATATGTGTGTGTGTGTGTGTATAATTTTTTCTTAAAAAAACAAATGTGATACTTAAGTTTAAATGAACTTCTCATTTCTTGTATTATTATCATGTATCAACCTTCTTGATATTGATTCCTTGAGAATGATGGGAAATATGAACAGAACTATTTCAGAGTCATGCATGTGAAAAAGAAATCTCTGGTATCATGAGAATTTTTAAAATATATATATTCTATTTTTGTCTTGATGTGAAACAAAACTTCCCCTAAATATTAACTAGAGTCATCTCCAATTATTCTATTAATTTGCCATCACTCCTTCAAAACAATAAATCTTTGGTTCAAGCCTTTTTTTTCCTCCCTCTGTGGGATGGTGGTATCAGAGATTGGACCCTGGGAAACTCTACCAATGAGCTATATCACCAACCCTTTTTATTTTTTATTCTGAGACAGGGTCTTGCTAAGTTGCCCAGGCTGACCTAGAACTTGTAATCCTCCTGCCTTAGCCTCTTGAGTCACTGATATTACAAGCATGCACCACTGTGCCCAGCTCAAGATGTCTTTTAAGCAAGTTCTGGGGATAAATGTCCTGGATGTTCTTTATTCCATCTGTATAAATCCCTAGAGGCCATCTCAGTTTGTCAGTTTTCCTCAATCTTCTGAAACACTCAGACCCTGAGTGCTCATAAAAAGGGCAGGAAAAATATGTGAACTCTTATCCCCTGTAGAAATAACAATATAAAATCATGTGAACCCTTCAGTATAATTCTAAAAATATGCACAAAAGGAGAGTCTCCTTAAATGACAAATAAAGCTCACCCCACAAAATAGGACAAATTGCCACATTGAAATCCAAAAAAAAAAGAAAACACCAGTCAGTAGCTCAGTCCAGACTAGGTTTACTCAAGATTTTCCTTGTAAGAGGTACATTAATAAAATTAATAAAGGTCAATAAAATTAATAAAAGGTCACATTAATAAAAATTATCTATTCAACAAACGGCGCTGGCAAAACTGGTAATCCATGTGTAGCAAAATGAAATTAAACCTCTGTCTCTCACCCTGTACAAAAATCAACTCAGAGTGGATCAAAGACTTAGGCACTAGAACCCTGCACCTAATAGAAGAAAAATTAGGCCCAAATCTTCACCATGTTGGCCTAGGATCTGATTTCCTTAATAAGACTCCTAAAGCACAAGAAGTAAAATCAATAAATAATTAATAACTGGGATGGATTCAAATTAAAAAGCTTCTTCTCAGCAAAGGAAACAATAAAGTGAGGAGAGAGCCTTTAGGAGAAAATCTTTACCACATGCACATTCAATAAAGCATTAATGTCTAGGATACATAAAGTGTCGGGTTTCTGTTCTCGCCGACTAAAAGGCTCAGGGGTCACTCCAGTTAAACTGGGCTAACTGGGCTGCACGAAATAACCACACAAGAGACACAAATACCTTTTTCTTTGGGGTCGCTGTGACGGCTCCTCTGACCTTAAGGGTCCGCAAAAAGAGAGAGCAAGAGCACGCGCTGACCCATTTTATTGAGGAGAAGTTATTTAAATGAGACAAGGGGTCAGGTTTCAGGGGGCTGAGTCTATCTTCATGATGTCCACTGTCAGCAGGTTGATTGACACCTGGTAGGCCACACCCAAGGGCACAGTAAGAGAAGGGGACACACACAAGGCACTTCCATGGAAGATTCTATCCTAAACAGGGCAAGAGGTTATATTACAAAAGAACAGGTGAGCGTAGCTTTACCCATGGGGCTGTAGCAAGAAACACCCATGCATGAGACACTGACCCTCGAACCCAAAAAGAGTGGGGAAAGCTCTGCTACATTTCTGCAACTGAGCGCCTCAGCACCCAGCCGGGGAGTGTGACCCAGTCATGTGTAAGGTCGGTCTCCCACAATAAAGAACTCAAAAAACTTAATGCCAAAAAAAAAAACAAGTAACCCAATCAATAAATGGGCTAAGGAACTGAACAGACACTTCACAGAAGAATACAATTGATCAACAAATGTATGAAAAAATGATCAACATCTCTAGCAATTAGAGAAATGCAAATCAAAACTACTCTAAGATTTCGTCTCACTCCTGTCAGAATGACAATCATCAAGAATACAGGCAACAATAAATGTTGAAGAGGATGTGGGGAAAAAGGTACACTCATACATAGCTGGTGAGACGGCAAATTGGTGCGACCATTATGGAGAGCAGTATGTAGATTCCTCAAAAAATTGGGAATGAAACTACCATTTGACCCAACTATCCCACTCCTCAGTTTATACCCAAAGGACTTAAAATCAGCATACTACAATGACGCAGCCACATCAATGTTTATAGCTGCTCAATTCACAATAGCTAAACTATAGAACAAACCTAGGTGTCCCTCAGTAAATGAATGGATAAAGAAAATGTGGTATATATACTCAATGGACTATTACTCAGCTTTAAAACAGAGTAAAATTATGGCATTTGCCAGTCAATGTTTGGAGTTGGAGAATATCATCCTAAGCAAAATAAGCCAGTCCCACAAAACCAAAGGCCAAATGTTTGCTCTAATATGTTGATGCTAATTCACAATAAGAAGCGGGGCACTAGGGAAGAATAGCGTTAACTTAGATTATATAGAAGAAAGTGATGGGAGGAAAGAGAAGAAGATGTGGGGATACGAAATATAGTAGAATGAAACAGACATTATTACTATATGTATATACGTGATTACATGACCAGTATGATTCTGCAACATTACACTCAGAAATATGAGAAATTATATCCCATCTATGTATAGTATATCAAACTGCATAAATGCATTCTACTGTCATGTATAACTAATTAAAACAAATTAAAAATTAAAATAAATAAAATAAAAAGAATCAAGGAAAATAGTCAATTGGTGTATTTACAGCTGATTATCAATACAAACTGAACCATTAAGGAATAAATTTTGATGAAAATGGCTAGAAAGAACTAGGAAAAGAGTAAGACTGCTGAATTTCAATTCTTCTCAAACAAAAGTAAATCTGAGTTAAAAAAAAAAAAATGTGTTTTGTTCTAATTTAAAAGTTTCTAGCTGAGTGTGATAGCACATGCCTGGAATCCCAGCTACTCTTGAGGCAAAGGCAAGAGGATCAAAAGTTCAAAACCAGCCTGGCAACTTAATGAGACCCTTTTTCAAAATGAAAAATAAAAAGGATTGGAGATGTAACTCAGTACATGAGGCCATGGTTTCACCAGTACCACATAAAAGAAAAAAGAAGTTTCTAGATAAATAAACCTATAGATTATAACTGGGTATTATGTATTAGGCAATCATACAATTACTTGTTAAACAAACTAAGTAGTTTGAATTACTTTGGGAGAGAGAAGTGACAACCTTAGATATAAAATTTATTACTTTTTTCCCGTTAATCAAGTAGTCTTATTTGAAATATGAGGTAGATATATTTAGTTGAAGTTTCATATACACTTAACATTAAAATAATTCAAATGCAGCCATCTCTACATTTATAATACAGTTTCCTTAAAACATAATAAAACTTTATTATGAAACTCTATTAGAAGTTTCCATAAGACTTCTAATAAACTGCAGGGTAAAAAAACATTGGATTATCTGTCTCATTAGTGATGTGCTTTTGTCCCCTTTAGTCTGGTGGTGATATAGCAGGCACTGCCATGTTCCCACCTGACCCCAGTCCTTGATGGGTTGGACAAGATGGTTACACAGGGGGGAGGCACCTAAATCCACCTGGTTAGCCCACCTCTTAACTAGGACTTTGGGATTTAGCCTCCCTCTCAATGACTAACCATGGCACATGCCTTTGGAACCCAAAGAAAAGCTGTCTACCACCAAGCTCCTTTCCTTTATTTTTTTTTTCTTGCTTAAGCCAAGTTTCCATTACTTACAGCCTGCTTTTTCATTTTAACTCTTTATTATATAAAAGTTCAAACATCCAAAAATATAAAAAACAGTATAATGAACTTTCAACAACTAGCTTCAACAAATATTGATTCATAACTGTGTGTCATCCTTAACCCCATCTATTTCTACTCCCCTCTGGATTAAATTACATCAAATCATTTCTTCTATGAGTATTTCTGTATACAGTTAGTATTCTGTTGTGTCAATATCTATGATCATAAAAATTAAAACATACCTTGATTGGCATTTTGCATATGGTTTTCATATTCTTCTGGAGATATCTGAGTGTGAAACACTGGGAAAAAGGTATCTTCATCCTCACGATGAGAAAGATCTACTGATTAAAAAATCACTTGCTCAATACTCACAAAAGTAAAAAACCGTCTATACAAGTTGTTTAAAAATGAATTAAGCTCTAATATTTTCTCAAATATTCCTGAAACCCTTTAATACACACAAAATTTTTAAACAATGTCAGTGTTGCTTCCAAGTAGAAATGATAATCATCTTTCTACACATGAGACACTGAAAAAAACTATTGGTCAAAGTAGCCAAATAGAATTTCCCTAGAACTTTAATGCAAAAAGGATGTATAAGAAACTGCTAAAATATCACCTACCTCCCCCAAGATAATGTATTCAAATCACAATGTTCACAAGAAAGACAATATACATAACCAAATAACTTTAATTGTGTTTTTATTTTTTATTTTAGATCCAAGGTAAACATTTCAAGTAGATAGTCAATCATTAAAATACAAAGAGAAAATTTTGGAGACTTTTGGCAGTTAGCCTTCTTATCTTGTAATTCATTCTCTTGGACTAATCCCCATAAAGATAACAGGAAATTTCATTGTTCAACTCTTTTTTTGTTTCAATATAATTTATCTTTATATTCTCCTATTAACTAATTTAAACATTTTATGTTTTCAAGAAACTAACACACGTAGTTTTTTTTAAAAATTGTACCTTAGTATGACAGAATCTGACAGGTTGTGGCACAGAAATGTTTTTGTTTCAGAAAAGAATTCAAGTCTTAAAGATTTTACAGAATCCACCACCTATCTCTGAAAACAAACCTGGTTTAAGCATTATCCATGCAATTAAAAACTGATAAATTCTACTTCGCAAAATTTAAAAATTTTTATGTAAAAAAATATTGTTAGTAGAATGAAAAGGCAAGCCAAGTTTGGGGGGAAATATTTGCAAAATACATATCTGTTAAAAGATTACATCCAAAATACACAAAGAACTCCTAAAAGTCAAAAACAAAAGAACAACCCAATATTTAAAAATGGGCAGCACATACCTAAAGAAAAGATACAGATGGCAAATAAGTGTTTTCATGAAAAGATGTCGACCATTTTTCAGGGATATGCAAATTTTAAAAAAACATAGCACTACATACTTATTAGAATGGCTAACCCCCACACACCAAAATGATAATACCAATTGCTGGAAAAGATGCAGAGAATAGGGAATTTTCATTCATCGTCTGTAGGAATATAAAATGGTACAGCCATTTTGGAAGACAAGTTAGGCACTCTCATTCCAAGATAAAGTCTTATCATGTAATCCAGCAATCATGTTCCTACATATTTATCCAGATAAGTTGAAAACATGTATTCACACATAAATCTGCACACAAATATTTATAGCAGGCTTATTCATGGGATTGCCCAAAACTGGAAGCAACCAAAATATCTTTTGATAAGTAAAGTGATAAACAAACTGTGATTGGTATATCCATAGAATGAATATTATTCTGTGACCAGAAAATAGCTACCAAGTCACAAAATGACATGGATGAATCTTAACTTCATATTGCTAAGTGAAAGAACAATTCCAATCATAATCAGTTAATTCAGTATTAACTGAAAAGGCAAAATTATAAAGACAGTAAAAAAAAAATCAGTGGTGGCCAGGGGCTTGTGGAAAGAAGAAGGATTGAACAGGTATTCACACAGGCAATCTTTCACAGTTGTAAAACTATTCTGCATGATACTTTAATAGTGAATATGTGACATTATACAATTTTGCAAAGCATAAAAAGTGAAACAATAATGTACACCAATTTTCAAAAAAATCATTTATGAGGTTGAAGAATCCCAGAATGGAATGTTAATGTGACAAAACAATCTAACTATATTACAAACTATGAAATTGTCTCACTAAAGAGAATAAAAGAAAAAGGTGCCTGCCTAAGTAACTAAAAATTAGTGAAGTCTACAAGACTAAAGGCAAGCACATAGGCACCATATTCTAGTTGACTGAGTTGTTTTCCATGGGGGTAGACTAGCAATTCTGATATCCACGTATAGTGGGATTGAATAATTAAGTAAAAAGGTGGTAGATGGTTGGAAATAGTCTTCTCACTGTTGGAGTGGAATGTTACCATTAAGCAAGGGGAAAAGGTTAGAATGATCCATGTGGCAATGGAGTAGAGCCAGAGAAATCAGTATGAACTCAGGTTTAGCTAATTATACATACAGATGGTTACACACAGATATAGCATAGATATCTGTATAATAGATTAGCATATAGTATATACAATATATATAGTATATATATTTTCTTTATTAGAGTGCCTAGAATCAATAGTCACACCTGGAATCCAGATTTTGGTTTCTAATATCAGTCTCTGATAAAAGAAATCAGGGATCCTTGGAGAAATGGTTGATTCCAGTAACAAAGTCAATGAGTCTGAAGCATCTTGTAATGAAAGAAAGTGAGGAAGCACTTGACAACAACAACAAAACTAAATCCACAGCAATGGAGTTGTATCAAAGGGACACAAGAACCAACTCAAAGAGCTCCCAATGGTCAAAGCTGGAAAAACTGAGCAACAAAATAAATAAAGTAGCAAGGAATTCTAACCTAAAGTACAAAATAAATATCCACAAGTCTATACTGGCATAAATTACTGATTGAATAAAATGGGGAAGTACAGGTAAATTTCACATGCAGAATAATTCAAATTAACATATGTAAATATTCTGCCCTCAAAGAAGTAAAGCATAACTCCTCATTCCTGAAGTGGGGCCTACACATAATAACTTCCTTCCAAAAAGTGTACTGGGGAAAAACGGGAACCTAGAATAACTTTACAGAAAAATCTGACAAATATTTCCTCAGGCTGGTAATTGAAGTTAACATCAACAGTGATGTTATGTTAATAGCACAACATAATATAATGAAAATGGTCCACAACCCTGTGGTCGTCCTCCTAAGAACATATAATCTCAGTCTAATCATGAGTTAAATCCTATGGCTGAACATTCTACAAAATAGCTGACCAGTACACCTCAAAACTGTCAAAGTCATTCAAAACAAAGTCTCACAGCAAAGATTAGACTAAGAAAGCCTGAGAACTAAATATAATGTGGGCTCCTGAATGCTATCCTGGAACAGAAAAAGAACTTAGGTAAAAATAAAGGATATATAAATAAAATTGGACTTTAATTAATAATAATGTATTAATACTGGTTCACTGGTTGTAAAAAAAAAACATATCATACTAATTTAATTGGGTAAGCGGGTGTGGATATATAGGAGATCTCTATACTATCTTTTTACTTTTTCTGTAAATACAAAGTTTTGCTAAAATAAAAAGCTAACTTAAAACTTCAAGATTTTTTAGAGTAGAGAAAAATATAAACAAATTAGAAATAGAAAGGGAATGTACAAACAAGAAGGAGGATTACTATTAAAAAACACATTGAGATTTTATGTCAGTAAAATTTTAAATCTTGGTAAACAGATACTGTAAAATCTCAGTATATGGATATATTGCCAAGACTAACTCCAGAATAACTTGTCAACTGAAATAGAATAGTAAATATGAAAGAAGCTGAGAAGAGAGTCAGAGAATGTCCTCCAAGAAATTATTTGAACCAGATGGCTTTTCCAGTGAAATCTTTCAAAATTTTAGGGAACAGATAGATAATCCTCATGTTATATAAGCTATTTTAAAGCATAGAAATAAATGAGTAACCACCTCCACTCATTAGCTGACAAAGATGCATAATTGACAAAGCAGTTATACAAACATAAACACCTCTACTTCCACCTCAACCCCAACATCATAAACATACATTCCTATACATGGACATAAGCATGTAAACACACACACACAGACAATTAATCTTACTTTATAGATATAAAATTCTGAATAAATTCTGCCATTCAAATATGGTACAAAATAAAAATAGTCCTCCATAATCAAGAATATACCTTGATCTGTAAACATTAAATAAGTTTGTCAAGAAGTAAAAATCTATTATAATTTAAAAGACATTGAAATGCATTCAACAAATTTCAACAATAAGACTATGGTTCTCAGAATCATTCCTGAAAAGGACATAAAAATTAAGACTATTTTCTGGTGATGCATTCATAAACTAACAAGACCCAAAGCAAACATCTAAAGATAATTAGAATGAATAAAATAATCTAGTTAAGTGCCAAAATAGAAAATGTCAATAGTTTTTCTTTTCTATATCATTAACAACCCATTAAAAATATGATGGGATAATCACCAATTGGAGTAATAACAATAAAGAAAAATAGGAAATCTATAGATGACTAATAAATATATGAAACCTGCAAAACTTCCCTGATATATGAAATATATGAGACATACTGGATTCTTGTTGATGTTGTCTAGTAATCTCTGGAATATTACTAATAATTTATTGAGCACTTACTACATGCTTTAGGGGAAGCAAGCTGCCATGTTGTAAGAACATGTAGGCATCCTATGGTGGGGTTCATGCAGTAGGAAACTAAGAAGTTCAGACAACAACCATGTTGAGTGAGTTTGGAAGAAGATTCTCTAGCTCTAGGACAACCTTCAAATGACCACAGCATTGGCCACCATATTGACTACAACCTCATGAGTCAGAACCATCCAGCTGAGCTCCTCCCAGATGGCTGAAATAGTAACAGCATAAATGTTTGTTGTTTCAAGCTGCCACCTTTGAGGGGTAATTTTTTCCATGGCAATAGGTAACTAATACAATGATAGTGTGAGAAACTGATAGCAGGGAGACAACATGACAAGACTAAATTCTATTTGAATGACCTGAGAGAGAATGCTGAAGGCCAGAATCCCACCATTAACTATAGAGGTGAAGAAGATCAGATACAGAAAAAGTAGGACAAATACTCTTTTAAGGAACTGTTTCTGAGAGAAGAAGCATAAGAAGATGATGATGAAGGAACTAAGGATGGCTCTTAACTTTCTAGTTTAGAAGACTGAGTGGGTGAAGAAATTAACCAAAAGAGGTAAAATATACAAAAGAATGAATAGCTTTCAAAAATAAGGAGAAAGAAG